CGTTCATATTTTAGAATGACAAGAGATGAGTTTGAATATTTGCACAGGACTGAGCGAGTGGCACGAGTAATCGCTCGTCGCACTTACACACTCGCTTATAGCCGTTACAGCCCGGCGACAAAACTATCGAAAATACACTCGCTTCCCGCTGATAGTTTATAGTTCTACTCGTTACTCGTTTCTCGTTCATCGTCGCCGGTCGGACCACTGCCTAACACTTTCACAAAGTCTAATTATCTACTGTCAGTTACTAGCAACATTTCATAGACACTGGTGACGTTACACATTCGTCTTTCAAATCACTAACGGATAAAATTTTAATTGAACAATGTGAATAACTTTTTGCTATCAAAATTGCACATTGCATCCATTTGTTATAAAAAATATTATAGTTAAGAGTCAATCGTAGTACTAATACGGTTCATTTTGCTTGGGCTTTTGAGTGGCAGGGACTCAGGTTTTATTTCAGAATTTATTTTTTTACGAACGGAATTACAGCCATTTGAAAATGTATATCTGTGTGTACGTGTTCTATTTAGTTCAGTTGATATAAAAAAAAACAATGGTATATGTAGAGTACCTACTGAATACATATCTTGTAAAATTTCGAGGTAATTTTGTGTTTTAAAAAAAAATTGTGTTTTGACACCGTTACCATACGGTGTTATATCCTCAATTTTACTACATATTTTTTCCAAAGTGGTTGATTCAACACTCCCTGTTATGCGGAATCAACTAAAGCCATGAGGTTGTATAGCCTCTAAGTGGAGAAATAAAATCATTGTTGCACATTATCAAATAAACTAGAGAGTACAACTGAGGCTGTCAGCGCAAAAGCTATGAAATGCATATAGAAGATAATGTGGGATTTAAAATTAGCCAAATTTATTTTACATAATAGTAATCATAATATATGACGAATACATTATTATTTTATTTTTTATACATGAAAATAACATCCAAATATATAATAATTATTATTAGAAAAAAAATAACACCACTTTTATGCTGATAGCCTCAATTGTATTGATTACTTTTGAATGTATTTGTAAACACACGCCTTAGTAACAATTGCTATTGTTATTGCATTATGGGCAGTGTGGTATATTTATTGTATCTTTATTTATAATTAGAAAGAAATTATAATTCGAAATATTTCATACCAAAAAAATTATAAGTATTGAGAAAATATGTATTTAGATGGATGTGACAAAAGCTTTTGACTACATAGACCATGACGTTGTACTTGAGAAATTTTATCCATATGGTTTATGGAATAATACACATAGAATGATAAAATCATAGTTATATTTAACAGACCTGAAATTACAGAAACGGAATAGTTTCCAAGGCTATACTGTATGGTGTCCCGCAAGGTAGTACTTTGGGACCATTGCTCTTCCTTATATATGTGTATATATTAGTGACACGCCTAAAGCACTCCATAATATTAACAGTTTTTATGTAGAAGACTGTACAATTATATATACCAAAGAAAATGGAATAATAACATCCTAAATTCGTTTGAATGGCTTCAAGAAAATAATTAAAAAATTGATTTTGAAGTGACATTAGTCATTGACATTTAAAGACAAATGTTTATACCCATATGGTTTTCGAGAGTTTCCCGTCTAGATCGCACTATTTGGGTCAACAACTGTTCCGGCATGGTATAAAACATTTAGTGTGGGATAGTAGATTTGTGTTATGATTTTCGAGGTCTCCCCAAGTGGACCCAAATACATATCCAGATAATTATTCCATATATTTGGGTCTAGGAGGTATAAACGTAGGTATTTTGCGATTATTATTTATTATTACTATGGACTAGCTTTTTATATTGCGATTTACTAGGAATAAATCTCGCAGATATTTCAGAATAACCTTACATACTTTATGTTACCTTATGTCTTTTGTACAAATAGCTTGCGTAAAATATATGGTGATTGTTAAGTGTTCCATCACTTCATTACATGCCTAAGTCCGCCTATAATCTGGCCCTTGAAAACAACTTCACTATTTTCAACATTGGTTGACTTGAGACGGGCATTATGTATTATGTGTACTTGTATATTTAGTATAATATATACATATATTAGTGTAACAAACTAGTTGTTTTAAAACAGATGTTGCCACTGTGATTTAATTAAACAAAATGATTGTTGTTCATTTTTATCTTTTATTTTATTCATATTTATAGTGCTAATATATAATGCTGTAACATTCTGTCGGTCTGCTGCATGGAGTCTATAACCGAAAATAGAGACGAAATTAAGGCCATCTATCACTGGAAACTCATCAGGCGAATGGGCTTCATTTCATTTTTAAGTATCAACTCTTGTTTGCGCTGAAATAGTACAGCGCCAACAACTGACCTGTTAGTAACAATTGCTATTGTTATTGCATTATGGACAGTGTGGGATATTTATTGAATCTTTATTTATAATTAGAAATATTTCATACCAAAAAAATTATAAGTACTGAGTAAATATGTATTTAGATGGATGTGACAAAAGCTTTTGACTACATAGACCATGACGTTGTACTTGAGAAATTTTATCCATATGGTTTATGGAATAATACACATAGAATGATAAAATCATATTTATATTTAACAGACCTAAAATTACAGAAACGGAATAGTTTCCAAGGCTATACTGTATGGTGTCCCGCAAGGTAGTACTTTGGGACCATTGCTCTTCCTTATATATGTGTATATATTAATGACACGCCTAAAGCACTCCATAACATTAAGAGTTTTTATGTAGAAGACTGTACAATTATATATACCAAAGAAAATGCACATTTACAGTGCTAATATACAATGCTGTAACATTCTGTCGGTCTGCTGCATCGAGTCTATAACCAGAAATAGAGACGAAATTAAGGCCATCCATCCCTGGCAACTCATCAGGCAAATGGGCTTTATTTCACTTTTAAGTATCAACTCTTGTTTGCGCTGAAATCACAAATTAGAAAACTGAAATAGGACAGCGCCAACAAGTGACCTGTGTGTACGTCTCCGTATATCCGAAAATATTCTATATTTATTGTAATAAAGATAATATCTTTAACAGTGGGTGGCTGTTCCATTCGGTGGTGTGGCAAAAATAGCAAAACATCTAATTGCAAAACAAACGGAATCACATTTCATCGGTAATTAAATATTAAATATGTAATTTTTCAATTATCGCCCATTATAGCAAAGTTCAAGTTAAACTGGTCGATTTGAAGTGAAACAATTGACGACACCCGTCAATTGTTTCGAATTCGGGCTGGCCAATCAGAGCGCAGTTGTCACCGTAATGATTTGGCAGAATAGATTTCAAATAAATTAAATGACATATCGTCTCTATTTCTGGTTATATACTCGATGGTCTGTTGTAAAATTTCAAAGATCCATTTTACTACTGACAAGTCGCACATGAAGTTTAAAAAAACAACCATATGCCATTAAGTTACGGTCTAAAATAATTTGGTAAAATCAAAATGAAAATACATTTAAATACGTTTAATATTTATCTATAATATAATTGAGTATAGCTTGAAGCCAGATGGCGGCAGCTCTTGCACCTGCGTCTTCGTCTTGAGTGTAAATACTTGACACGTACGAAGCTCGGCCGGCTCTGGAAGTACATGACGTCATCCACATTATTAATAGACCTAAGATCTGCTGCCTCGACTTGGTAGAACATCGCCCAGAGGGCGTATTAATACCTTTTTAAAAACCATGTAAGTTCCACGCAATTCTTTTTACGCCCAAAAACTGACTGGATAAAATTCGTGTTACGACCATATTAGGACATACATATTTTTAGCCGACCACTCGCTGGTTATTTTGTGTATAACTGGGACTTGACTTAATGGATGAATATTTACCGGTAAGTTACGGTGTTATATTTGTCACTTAGTAAGAGAAAAATAATAGGTACGTATTATTCATGTACGAAAATAAATAAAGACACTTTATAATAAAATCAATACACTATATTAAAATTTTTGTAAATAAGTTTTCAAACGACGTCAAATAAATTCTGACTTTGTAGTTTGTTGAAAACATGTCAATTTGCTAAGCCGGTATCTTTCATAAATTGTTGTGCATGCATTTCAAACGGATCACTACGATCACGCAATCATTTTTGGATGTTTTCCGTATTATTATCGTGGGAAGCATCACTTTCGAGATAGTCAAACATTTCGTATTCATCCCACGTGATGAAACGATTGTCTAATAGCCAAATTAAGTTTGCTTCTTACAACGTCAATTATTGTGATATAACAAGATAAACCGTTCAATAAAAACCAAATTCCTGGAAAGAAGCACGTGGAAAACTCCGGAACAACAATCATCTTTATGTTTGAGGTACGCTTAGGAATAGCTACATTTAATATAACCTAAAAAGCTGATCGAAATCATAACGGCTGAAATATTTCAAAATATCAATACTGAAGTGGCGCCATCTATTGACAAGTAGCGACACTATCAAAATTAGTCAAAAAAGTTCCACCTGCTCCAGCTAGATGGCGTTAGTCTGCGAAAAATGTAGTAACTCAATAGAAAATAGAGAATTTCTTATATGTTCATCTTGCAAATTGACCTTTCACCTAGATTGTTGCAATGTATCAAGCAAAAGATTTTATTTAATGGAAAAAGAAAAAAGAGGAACGTGGAAGTGTAACAATTGCTTTGCTAAACAAACACCTCTCAGCGAAAATGTAACTGTACGTACTAAGTATAGAGCAGTAATATCCACAGAAAATTCATTTGAAGCTTTAGCCAGCTTATCTGGCAATGAGGACAATAACGTTGACGATTACGATGATGATCTAGAACAGACGAGTTTCTTAACAACTAGTGAGCACAATAGGAGTTGTCCCGAAAGAACAATGATTTACGATAAAGCGGAAAAAATGGAAAAACTAATTTCAGAACTTCAAGAAAAACTACAGCAAGCAGATAATGAAATTGTTAACTTGTTATCCGAAAATTACACTTTGAAGGACAAAATCAAATCACAAGCTGTTATAATAAGCAGTCTTAAAAAAATAAGTGGCAGTACAGTACGAAATAATTCAATTAAAAATATAAGAAAGAGTAAAGCACAAAATCAGAGCTACATTAATCTAAGCGGGGATCAAACAAACTTAAACTTACAAAACACAAGTAACGATATTGGCACGACCATAGCAAATCATGTACGCAACCATAAGCCAATGCATATTCCAACACCAATCGGCATGAGCACACCAACACCCCAGCCATCGACTTCTAGATTGCAGCCTTTGCCATCATCTGCACCTTATAAAACTAAAACTTTCACAACTCAACCCAAAAAGCCTATAATATATATATTTGGCGATGAACAAGTACGGGGACTATCTCAAAGCCTACTTAATTCCAGAAGAGGCAAGTGGAACGATGTATATGATGTGAGAGCAGTAGTAAAGCCTTATGCTTCTAGCTCTCAGATAGTAAATGACTTGACAAATATGACAAATGTTATAACGAAACACGATCTTATTGTTTTTTCGGTAGGGTGTAATGATAAGAATCCATTTACGCTACTGACAAACATATGCAATACATTACATAACTTCAGAGACAACGACATATTATTATTCAATATACGTAACAATAAACATTTGAACATAAACGCGTTAAATTACGATTTGGAAAAATTTACAAAAAATTATTCTAATTGTACATTAATTAATATTAAAGATCAAAGGTTGTCCTGGAGTTCCATGGTGTTCAAACTAAATGTAGAAATTGACTTTTTGAATTATAGAAGAGAGTTTATTGAGAGTGGGATTAAATCGCGTAAGTTACATAAACCTACTCCCACAGCAAACAGTAACAATAATGACACATTTTTTCGTCTGCAACGTAAATATTCAGACTCAACCAACCTATAACTTTTCTCACCATACTATTCATGAAAATTCGATATGTAAAGCTCACCCTGACAATTTTGTAATTTTTAACCAGAACATACGAGGTCTTTGTAGTAAATTGGATCTTTTGGAGATTACATTTAAGGAATTATATGACGACGGCAAAGAGGTTGACATAATATGCTTGAGTGAAACCTTTGTAAAAAAAGGATCAGAACCTAACATTAAGCTCAGTAACTTTAAATTAGCGTCGAGCTATTGTCGAGAAAACAGTAAAGGAGGTACATGCATTTTAATACAAAATATTTTAGACTTTAAACCCTTACCGGCCGTTTCGAAACTAGCTTCTAAACTATATTTCGAATGTTGTGGTGTAGAAATCGTGGGAATTGATCTTATTGTAGTAAACATATATAGAACTCCGGTTCATACAAAAACTTTCGTAGGTGTATTTCTTTATAAACTAAATAGTTTGCTTCAGTATTTGACCACTAAATATAAAAATAAAAAAATCGTCATTTGTGGTGATTGGAACATCAATACATTGGAGAAAAATACAGCTTCTAAAGATCTCCTGAGCATTCTTCAAAATTATAATTTTAACGTTCACATTAATAAACCAACGAGGTTAAAATCATGTATTGACCTGATTGCCAGTAATATAAAATCAGTAAGGGCAGGCATACATACTTTGGCGCTCTCAGACCACGAAACTGCGCAGACGATTACCTTAAGCATAGGGAAACGGAAAGCTATCACCACTTGGTATGAACAGCGGCGCGACTATAGCACCGAAAATATTAGGGGTTAAAGTATGAAATTGCCGTTTTATTGCAATAGGTTCTTTGAATTTTCATAGAATCTTCATGGTTTGAGGTTTTCGAATGAAACTTTTTTCAAATGGTTTCTGTGATTTTTTTTTTTTTGTAAATTTGAAACATTTGAATATCGACTTTCAATTGTTTTTGTTATTCAATTTAGACAAGAAAGATGGATACTGCGAAAATTTGAGTGATTTTTGAATACGAGTTCCGACGCGGAACTAACGCGGCAGAAACAGCCCGCAATATCAATGCTGCGTTTGGAGAGGGGTCTACTAATGAACGCACCGTGCGATTTTGGTTTAAACGCTTTCGTGATGGAAATTTCGACTTAAAGAACGAGCCACGAGGAAGACCGCCCACACAGGTGAATAACGATGAATTAAGAGAGATAGTGGAAGCCGATCCTAGTCAAACTACCCAGGAATTAGCGGCATGGTTTAACGTTACCTTACCCACAATATTGACTCACTTGCGTCAAATCAATAAAATAAAAAAATACGAAAAATGGGTGCCTCATGATTTGACTGATCTGCAGAAAGAAACGCGTGTTGAAACTTGTGTTGCCTTGTTGAACCGGTACAGAAATGAAGGAATATTGGATCGAATTGTAACATGTGATGAAAAGTGGATTTTTTATGATAACCGGAAAAGAAAAATGCAATGGCTGACCCCAGGTCAAATGCCACAACAGTGTCCTAAAGCAAAACTTACCAATAAAAAGGTAATGGTAACTGTTTGGTGGTCTCAGCATGGTGTTATTCACTATAGTTTTCTCCGATCTGGTCAAGCAATAACGGCAGATGTCTATTGTGCCGAACTCCGAACCATGTTGACAAAACTAGCAGTAAAACAGCCCCAACTCATGAATCGATCTTCACCATTATTGCTCCACGACAACGCGAGACCTCACACAGCACGAGAAACCATTTTGACCCTTCAGGAACTGCAGTTAGAAACCATTCGTCATCCTCCGTATTCACCAGACCTTGCTCCAACGGACTACCATTTTTTCGTGATTTGGACAATTATCTACGTGACAAGAAGTTTTCTTCCCAGGAGGCAGTACAAAAATGCTTTCACACAGTTTGTGCAGTCTAGATCGTCGGAGTTCTATCGCAAAGGCATTAATAACCTTCCCATTAGATGGCAGCAATGTATAGATAATAATGGCAACTATTTTGATTAAATAAATTTGTTAAAAATTTTAAAAATAAACAATTTAGATTTTCAGTACAAATCGGCAATTTCATACTTTAACCCCTATTATAAAGAAGTTCTGCGAATGTGTTTCGGCACTTTCCTTTTCTGAAGTTTTAGACTCGGACAATTTAACTCTGGCTTTCGACTACTTTTATGACTTAATATGTCTATTTTACGAGCTCTGTTTTCCAATATTAAGAATTAAAATGAACAACAGGCGTAAAAAAATACTCTGGCTCACAAAAGGTCTTAAAAAATGTTGCAAAACAAAAAGATTACTATATTTAAAACAAAGAACATCAGCAACTAACAAACAAAAAAACGTAAATAACTTTAGAACATATAATAGTATCTAAAAAAGTGTATTTCGATTGCTCGTAAAATAAATAATAATATTTACATACAGAATAATAAAAACAAATGTAAAGCGACATGGAATACCATTTCATCTACAATATCTAATAACATCCACAATAATGACATTAAACAGATACGACATAATGATAAGACATACTCAAATCCAGTAGACATTTGTAATATTTTTAATGATTATTTTATAAAGTTGACAAACAAAGATAACTTGACCCAAAACCAATTGACATTTACACATAATTCACTTAATAAAAATTCTCATACAATATTTTTGAAACCGGTAAACGAAAAGGAAATTTATAATATAATTATGTCTTTAAAAAACACAAAATCCAGTGGTTACGACAGTATAACTACAAAAATGCTTAAGTTGAGCGCCCCTTATATCTGTTATCCACTTGCACACATAATAAATTTATCCTTTGCCGAAGGTCTTTTTCCAGAACAATTAAAAACTTGTGTTGTCAAACCCCTTTTTAAGAAAGGCGATAAAGAGACCCCCAGTAATTATAGGCCAATTACATTAATCCCTACTCTATCCAAAATATTTGAAAGAGCTCTACATACCAGACTCAACTCATTTTTGGACAAACATAAAATTTTAAACCATTCTCAATTTGGATTTCGAAAACACAGCTCAACAACTCTTGCATGTTTTGAATTCTCGCGCATTATAACGGAAAGCATGAACGTCTCAACGCCTGTGATGTCAGTTTTTCTGGATATGAGTAAAGCCTTCGACTTTGTCAATCATTCCAAACTCTTACAAAAGCTTGACTTTTACGGTATTCGGGGAACAGCCATTCATTGGTTAGAAAGCTACTTAAAAAATAGAACACAATACACAGAAATAGACGGACTCAGAAAAAACAAATATAATAGCATAATAAAAAAACAAACCTTTAGATCACACGGTAAAACAACTAATGCTGGAATTCCCCAAGGTAGCGTCCTAGGTCCATTATTGTTCCTTCTGTACGTTAACGACCTTCCACATGCTATTGATCACAATTGTATACAATTTGCCGACGATACAACACTTGTAATAAAATGCGAAAACAAATCGACATTCAACATGGACATAAATAAAGCATTTTCAGATGTAATGAATTGGATGGAAAATAATGACTTGAAAATTAATCTAAGTAAAACTAAAGTTATGACATTTAGATCATACAACTCAAATCCCATTCCAATACAAATTCAATATAATTCGGTTACTTTGGACAATGTAGACGCATTTAAATTTCTCGGGCTGACCATCGATAAGCATCTAAATTGGAAGGAACATATCGATCAAATATGTGCAAAACTAAATAGATTTGTTTACGCTCTCCGAAGGTTAAGGCAAACCGTCTCTCAGGAAGCTGCACTAACGGCCTATCACGGCTACGTTTCATCTGTGCTTAGTTACGGTATCGTATTATGGGGCAACTCAGTAGCTCTAGAAAAAGCCTTCAAGGTGCAGAAGAAATGTATTCGGGCGATCTGCGGAGCGTGGTCAAATGATAGTTGTAAACCTTTGTTCCAAAACTTAAACATACTGCCTTTGCCATGCATGTACATTAAGGATATATGTATATTCGTAAAGAATCACCCTCAACATTATAAAACGCTCGGTCAAATCACTCAAAGACAAACAAGACGTAAAATTATGCACCAATTGTTTAAACCTCGCTGCCATAAAGGAATATATGAGAATAACTCGTTCAACATGTCTATACAAATATTTAATCATTTACCATGGGATATTAAGTTACTACAAGGACCTAAATTTAAATCACAATTGACAAAATGGCTTTTGACACATTGCTTTTATAGTAATAAGCAATATTTAGATTGTGCTACAAGTAATGGTCATTAATATAAATTGACATATTTTTAATAAGTTTTTAAAGTATGTAGTAATAATAGAGACCTGTTTAAATTTTATAATATTTGCACACCTGCTTGCAGGTTGAGTACACTGTACCTATTCAAAATCAAGATCTGTAATATACTGTATTCTGGCAAATAAATATATTCTATTCTATTCTATATTCTATTCTAAAAATATATAAACTCAAAATTGTAATAATTATTATACAATTATACAAAAAACAATTCAATAAAAGCTACAACAAGACACTATGCTGAATGGTTTATTGCTGTTACTTTTGGACAGATCAAACGTGAACAAAATGTCAAAATAACGTTTGTAATACGATATTGCCAGCCAAACTTCGTTCAGAAGACAGCCTAGTGTCACGTGACCGTTGACGGGCTGGTATTACTAGTTCATAATATAAAATTACAAGCCAGTTTACGGCATAAACTGCGTGGAAAAAAGAGTTCGTATGAGGCCCCCTAGTCACAGGTTGGAAACCTCGAAGGAATTTATTATAACAATTATTGATCAATTTGATTTAAAGACTGCCTATCCTCCCTAATATCAACGTGGAATCTTATATTGAATAATTTTAATTTTTCTATAATTAAGTTTTTATTGAATGTCAGGATGTGTCACCACCACGATATTCAATTATTTTTTTGTGAAATTACTCCACTACTTACTCCACATCCTTGCATTTAATAAAACTTGATTATATTTTTTTATTACAAAAAGCCGTTCTCAAAAATTTGCTTATCGGCTTTTTATTGGAATTACACCTATTTGCTTAGTTTTATTGAAATCGATTAACAGAACGTGCACGAAACCGGATTCATCCCCTAGTTTGCTACCCTTAGAAGTGGAATATTTTCATCAAATTTAAATGGGACCAATACTGAGGTACCCTCTTTCCAACAAAACAAAAAGCATCAAAATCGGTTCACTAATGCTGTAACAGTCACGTCGTAACATACATAGAAAAAAAAAATACAATCGAATTGAGAACGTCCTCCTTTTTGAAGTCGGTTAAGAAATAAACTTTTTTAAATTTAGAAGCAGATAAAATATGTCGATATATACTGAGAAATAATACGACATTGAGGAACCCGCTTGCCAGCATATTTTCGGCAGCGCGCCGTTTTGAACAGCGGGTAGGAGCGGGTACGTCGTCGATAAACTCTCTTGGGTACTTACATTGTATTTAACGTTTTGCACACATTCAAAATAGTGACAGTGTTACAGCTTGAAGAAGCATTCGTCTATTAAAAAAGTGTTAGCATTCCAAACTTAGTATGGTGTATTTTTCTCAATATTTTGTAATTTACCGACTAAAGGAATTTGGCTTGATTTTTTTAAATTTGCTATGAATATTTCTTATAATGAAGATCCTAAATTGAGCATACATATGTACCTACTCCACTAGAGGTCGAATCAGACTAATGTATAAGTAAAGATACGTTGATAGACGAGAGAAGTCAGCGGCAGTAGTCATGACCGAACCCTTTGGCAACGATGGAGTCCATTATGTACTTACTTGGCAGTCATATTAGCTGTAGCCTTAGCTCCTTTATCAGCTGCCTCGACAGTCTTCTTGAGTGTCGTTTTAATATCACCCTTCATGTTCTCTTTGTAGACAACAGATGCTGGGTATAACGTGTCCAACTGCAAATCCAACAAGGATAAATGGAAAACGTTGAATTAAATTAGCCCTTCTTCTTCGATCTTACGAGAGCCATAATACGACAAGATATTGTGTACCTTGTTACCATGTTAATAAATATCCATCACGATTAGAATCTTGTAACGGAAAATAAATAAAAATGTCACAGGACGGAGGTTTATATTTTGGCAACAAAACAATTCATAATTATTGATGCGTATTTCTGCCGCCGGGAATGTGAGCATTACTGCGCTCGGATTTTGAAAGATAAGGGCACTGCTGAAGTTACATGAGACTTGTTAACTTATATCTGTGCCTCTTAGATCTTTACGATTTAAAGCTCTATGTAGCACTGCAGCTTTTGTAGATAGGCGTGTCGCTTACAATCAAACGCACGACTCACTCGTCCCGTTACTTGGTAAAATAAAAATAAGTTGGCAGTTAGTTACAATAATATTTTTTTATACTACCATAGTTCTGTCACCCGGCTCCGCTCCACCATATTTTGTAATAGCCTCCATTGCCCCCTGCCACGCCGTTAACCAAGCGCTGGCATCGTTTGATTTGGCACTAAAATAAATAAGTTTTATGTAAGTTTTTGTTCTATAATGTTACTAAATTTTCACGCTCTATTACGATGAACATAGTTATGAAAACTGCACGTCGAAGATGAAAGATCTCCCCACCTTAAATTGTACCAGCGCGTGGTGATCAAAACTTTTATCACTATTGTGGAGACAGTGGAAAGTATATGGTTTGATGATTTATATTGTCTACACCGTACCGTAAAGCACGTTATAACTAACTAATATTGAATTCAGAAGATTCAAAGATGCGGGTCTGGGGGTCTATTCCCGTTCTTTATCCGACACCCATCCGAATCAATTACTAGCAAATAAGTAATTCTAATTACAAGTGTTTTCATTTGGTCGAGTATTACTTATTTGACAATAATAAATTACCTATTTGACAATAATAGAGAACCGGAGTAAACTCCCTTTGCGGATTAAAGCCGGGTTTTCACCTTTTTTTTAGCTTTCCTCTAAAAGTATTGCTACTTCTTCTTAGCGTGTCGACTCTGGCGTTTATATTTGTTAGGACAAGTACTCAGCGACTGACACAGCATTATCAGTGGCGTTGTACATGTCCTCGCCTGTGCAGGTGTAGGGGCACGCAGGACAAGACAAAAGATGTGCCATAGTCTAGGGAGAGACACTACAAATACATGCGCTCTCAGAGCTATAACTCCACCTGTGCATGCTCTCCTTGCCTCGGCCGACTTGGGTCCGCAGTCTATTTAAAGACTTCAAAGTGTGCCATGGTAGATTATGCCCAGGAGAGAGATGCTCCGACAGCGGAATGAGTGATGCCGCGGGGTATCTCTCCTTCCAGAGATTTATAAGGACTTGATTAGTTTCCCCGTCCAGAGGGAATACTTCTTTAATTAGCTATGTCGACTCTTTAGCCTCTGGTACTAGTCTCAAGTCTCAAGTAGTATTGCTACTAAAATAATATAGACCTAATAAAAGACAAGGAAAAATTAAATAATAGCATTATCTAACTCACTTTGCTAAAGTTTGTGAAGCAGCAGATAGTCCTAAACTGTAAATACCGCCAGAGGAGCCACCCATATCGGTCTCCGCGATTTCGGATAGGTCCCACAGCACGTTAGATGGATACTCCAATGATGACATCTTCAAATACGATGTGATGGCTGAAATATTTATTTACTAATAATGTCTTTGTATACATTTCGCGTGATAGTACCTACGCGACACGCTTATCCATAGCTTTAAATTGCAAAGACCTAAGGATCACTGCCACTGCATCCGTCACTCTGAGACATAAACTTGACAAGTCCCATCTGCTGTTTAACCAGCACCCTTACCCATCAAAATCGGAACGCAGTAATGCTCATGTCACTGCTTGGTGGCAGTATTTCCCTAGACAAACTCTTTCTCAGGGAGCTCTATTGCTACGTCACAGGGTTAATATTGTAGATTGTATTTACTGCAGACTCTTTCGTCAACAAATTCTGTTCTTAGATTGGCATTGCAAGAAACACGTTATGTGGAGTTAATAAGTTTAGACTCAGGAGTCTGACTATTTCTCATCGTCGGCTTCTTTCCTTTCACTCAGCCAATAGGAAAAAATATGCATTTTTTCTAGTTTTAATATCTTGACAACAGCTGAACATGTCTTACCTTGTCCAAATTTCTTAAGCGTATTCCCACAATCTCCATCCCCACAGCCTGAATCCAAACGATTGAGAAGACCTTCATTCTTGGCTACTTCTTCGGCAGCTGTTTCCAAGCAACCTCTAAAGATTTCCTGCTCTTTTGGTGATAGTTTCGGGCCTGTTGTGATCTGAAATTAATTAAGTTTCTTATTTTTGTGTTTTGTCCAAAGATCTTATGTTCTGACTTTATTTAGGAGAAATTGTTCACTCACGATTCAAATTTATCTCTCTTCTGCTCATCTTCTTTAAACGTTCAGAATAAACGCATAGTATACGTATTTTGAGTTCAAGTCTGTTTCAATCTTATAGTTTATCATCGCAAATGTTACCTAGTTTACAGTGCACACAAGTTTTTCGACTAGATGAGAACTGAAAAACTGCATTTAAATAGTAAGGTAATCACTTTTTTATTACCGATTAAATTAACGTTCTAATGTCATACCTCCACGTTAGAATTAAGTACAACAATCTACCTTCCGACTATGTGCCTGCAGTAAAGTCTCATCATCACCAACTCCTCCATCTCCCTTCACGGACAGAGGTCCACCAGCCCATCCCAACACAGTTGTGGGATAGTCTAAAAGTTCCAACCACAAATCGCCATGTTCCTGGTTCAGGTTCATCAAACAGATTTGAAAGCCATGCATTTCAAGCGATGTCTTCATGTGTCCGGAGAATATGCGTTCTGGCGTTATTCTTTTGTTTTCTGAAATAATTAAAAGATCTTAACATCGCTCTGAGCTAAAAATATGAATATAATGACTTTGACTGTTCAAAAATTCAAACGGCAAAACAAATCTTACAACTGGCGTAGGTACTAATAGTAAAGTCAAAATGTACTTACCTAAATAGTCCTTAGTTTCTGCTGCAATAATGTTCATTTCGAGTAAAGATGTTCCACCCAAGTTATTAATCATGACCGCTACTCTGTCGCCACTCTTTAATTTTATGTGAGCTACTACCTAAAAAGTACAACAAGGTTTGCAACATTCATACTTCTGAAAAAAGGCAGTAAGCATTGTCTTCTTCGATGTATGTATCATTCCATCATCCTACATTTTACTCCTGCCTTATACTGTTGTCTGCATACTACAGCCAAATTTTTAACTCTCATGCGATCATAGTATACCAAACTCTAGCGGTGATGAATATTGATCTAAGATCTCTTGTGGATAACGAACTGACCAACTTTAAGTTTATTAGCAACATATAAAAACCAACCTTATCCAGAATCATAGTTACAACTTCTTTGGCAGTCCCTATCTTCATTTTCGTAATACCAGCTTCTCCGTGTACTCCTGCACCGAGCTCTAATTCATCATGTGCTATTTCGAATAGAGTGTGTTGGCCTGCAGCAGGAATTACAGGGTTTTCATTAGAAATTATGATCGGGTAGATCATGTGGTAATCTGTATGTATCTGTTATCGTTCGATGCGACCAAAATGACTATCTTGAGCTACAGTTATTTTTCAACTCAAAATTCATCATTTGATGTTAAGTAATTGGTTTACGAAACTAACTAACTAAATAGACCATTCGACAGCCACAAGTGCACGTGTATATAAATATAAAAAGAAAACATAAACAAACCGGGTAAAGAGCAAGGCGACAAGGTAACGCCAAGGGTAGCCATGAACTTGTTCGCCTCAGCGGCTATGTTGCGTATTGTTACCAAATCGAAGCCTTTTGCTGCCATACCACCGCATAACTAGAATCCAAACATCATTTTTTTTTGTCCACATCCCCATCAAATATGTATTTTAGATTATCACATGGAATGACAGTTTAATAGGATATGATTAATTGTGTTAATTACAGTCAGATTTGGGAAATGTGTAGTGCCAGAAAACCGTACAACCGGCTGCAAAAGTAGATCAACATAACATTTTATATTCGTACCTTGTAGAAGAAAACTTCACCACACATACTGCGTCCACCAGTCTTGTTATGACTAGACGCTACATCTTCTCCCACTATAAGACCTTCCACCTAAAAGGAAAGATAGACTTTTTTCTATATGCATATATACATTAATGACTTGGACTTTAACAAAGATGAAATATGTACCTTAATGCCAGCAATTTTTGCTTTCTCAATAGCTTTGCCGAAGTTCAATCGATCACCGGTGTAATTTCCAATTATAACAATGACTCCACCTGTAAAAAAAAGATCAGGGTCATCTTTCTCATACCATATTCAGTTGGTTATCTCATTTAATGTAAAATAAGTAGATAAAATTATTATCCCAACGGATTATACCTCTTCAAATCTGGCTCGATTCTTTTTCCAGCAAATACTGGTCGGTGACCTTTTCGTTACCGGAGGTGGCATCACACATAATATATTTATACTTAGTGTCTTTGTTAGGGTTGAAACCTATTTCAATATAATTTTGTTTTGGTATTATTTATTTGTGTCTTGCGTTTGATTTTTTTGATTCTGTGTCTTTATTTTTATTATTGTTTTTACTTCTTTTTCTTCCATTTTGTTTCTTTTGTCTTTTGAGGGGTCATTTGTGTCAGTCAAATAAATATATTTTCTTTCTTTCTATTCATAAAATTGGAAAAGCGTAAAATACCCGAGTGATACTTGTAAAGCTGCGCAATCGCGTAAAGAACTTGTCCAGTCGCGGGCGAAGCAAAGACGCTCCCCGATACAGAACCGTCCAGCATCCCGGGTCCAACCAATCCTGTAATAAAAATCATTGTTTGCATTAATTCAACCAGATTATGAAGATCCTTAAAAAAGTATCATAATGCAGAAGTCAAGAATTTCTAAGAACAAACAATCGTGTTTGGAAATGATAATGCAAAGGAAGTACGTCAAAAACAAGAACAAATCATACGATCTGTTTACCCCAGAGACAGATAGGATTAAAAGTATATGTGCATGGCGGCATTAAAAAGACTTGTATGTTAATATAAAAACATCTCCTAACAAATTTCTTAGCAGTAAAGCTTCTTGTGAAAGAATGCGTCCAGGAATGTAGGGACTGTTACTCATTTCTGCCGCCAAGTAGTAATGTAAGAATTGTGTTACATTTTAAAGGGTGTTGGTGAATTTACAAGTACGAATTTCAACTATGTCTCAAGGTGACGGACACAGTGGCAATGCCCCTCAGATCTTTGCGATTTACAGCTCTGTGTGACTCTAGATGTGTCCCTTACCACCAGGCCCACGAAGAAGAGACTTGCGCCCTGTCCAGTGCTAATTGTCAGAAAATAGACTCCTTACAGAGATGGGCAAGCACCCGGGTTTCAAGGTAAGGTTAGTTTAGGGTAGGGTTTCTAAAAATCGAGGGCTTAGCGAGGTACTTAATTCGTGTTTTGTTCCAATTGAATTGAATATTATTGCAAAATGTTTATTGCTTTCTGATCGAGATGATTATATTTGCCTTTCTATTGAATCGGTTCGCGTGAAACTCGCGATGTCGATACAAAAAATCGTCAGATCGTATGCACTTCAATCGATTTTCGTAAACATCGAATCGTAATGTGCATCCTTAGTAGTGAGAATCCACAATATTGCAAGGTGGGTATTGTATGGAGTTATCTTTTTGGTCTAAAAAGTCTATAAATTATTAAAAAAAAACAAAAACTCGACTGCAAAAAAATTTAGCTGGAAACATTGACTTACAATTATATGGACGTCGGGTCCGCGCTAAAAAGTGTCCGCACTAAACTTGTAAGGCGCTAAAATCGTATACAGAGCGCGACACTCCGCTTTAGTCTTCATTTGTTCTACTGACAGCGCGATACTGCGATGACATTACAATTTAAATTTCGAATAGGTTGACTTGGGACATTTTTTTCGTGGTTTTCGTATTAGACCCGTCGTCCATTTATTTGTAAGTCAATGGCTGGAAAGATAAAAAAAAATATTCCCCTCACTACATATATATTGATTACTTTTATAGCTATGACACTCCCACCATCAAGACGAATCTAACGACACCTCATATGTCAAAATCCATCAAGCCGTTTAGGCTTAGATTTAGAAATACAATCTAAAGGTATCGAGTTCTTAGGTTTTCGCGATTGTTACACATAGTCAGTCAGCCAGTTGACAGTCAACCGTGACCATGGGACCTGTAAAGGCCCCGAAACGTCGGTTTGTTTGAAAACACAAATATACGCGATTTAAATCCGGAAAAATAGTTTCATTTCCTAAATATAAAGGTAGTTGGAAGAAATCTCTTTATGGTACATACCTACTCGCCTTTGCACACATTAACGTTTTAACTTCTTTGTTAATATTTGTGATTTGTTTCGTTGTAGGTATAACAAAGTGTTTACATACGTACATACATAATGTTGGCTCTAGTGCTTATTTATTTTGTGTTGAGTGTGTCAGTAGACGATAATATAGATAGTTCTTCAATCTATATCGACAGTTCATCGAACTGTACCAGTTACTGACCTGCTGCAAATGGCTCATGTCCAGATCCTCCACCACCAAGAACTGCTACTTTTTTAGTGTCTACCTGAAAATTGTATAAAACCACATTTGATCATATCGCACTGCTATTACAATAGTGTTGTAACTCAAAATACGTGAAGTTACCATTTCTGAATGTAAGATTTGATTCTCTACACGACAATAAAACCGTCGTTAGAATATTGTAAGAAACAATTAAAATATATTCTACTTAACTCCAAGTGAGACAAACCTTATGTGAGCCAGTAGCTGGACAAAACAGTCCTTACTCATTACTCAGTTCGATATTTGGCAAGTAGGAAATTGTTTTGATTTCGGTAACAAACTTTAACCTATATACATTGACTTACAATTATATGGACGTCGGGTCCGCGCTAAAAAGTGTCCGAACTTATAGGGCGTTAAATCGTATACAGAGCGTCATTCACGCTTTAGTCTTCGTTTGTTCGACTGACAGCGAAGCAAGCAAAATTAGACAGTACTGCGATGACATTACAATTTAAATTCAACGTTTTAGCTTTTTCATATTCCTTTACATGTCACTACGTTTAAATAGGTTGACATGGGACATTTTTTTCGTGGTTTTTGTATTAGACCCGTCGTCCATTTATTTGTAAGTCAATGCCTATATATATATTTTTCTATAATATCTAGTGACGGGGCGAAGAAGTCGTGAGCGTTCATAAATATATAAATTTCTATAATCTTTCACGGGAAGTGAGTAATTCGTTCATTGAGTCTGAAAAAATACACTTTTTAAGTTAATACACTATTGTATTAACAATGTGATATGTTAAAAGTGCTTTTATCACATGAAAGCCATAAAAATAATGATAGAAATAGTGTATGGACATAATGTACAATAGACAATACAAGTTACGCTGCGGCCCGCTGTTGCCGCCATTACGACACTAAACAAGGTGTCTATTTCTGTTCTCCATCCGAAACAATTACTCGACCAAAACAAAAAAACAATGTGAAGTACGACGCTTCATTTGCATCATGCCTCTTTTAATTTGGTCGTGTATTACTTATTGGACAGTAAATTGTTTCTGACGGATGTAGGACGGAGAACGGAAATAGACCCCCAGTAGTTCGAGTGGACGTGTGTGAAGTAAAACTAACGTTGTTTTATTGAGCTATCTCTGTACAAGTAGTGTAGACGTCACAAATACTAATTAATAGTTAGCTTATATAGATCCCATTGTTGGACACATGCCTCCTCCTCCCACCCAAGGCGGATGGGAACTTCACATAGCAATCCTCGCAATGTTTTCTTTCTGCTCATGGTAAATTTCAAATTTCGCACAAAAATTTCGAAAAACTCAAAGGTACAGGCCCGGTTTCGAACCCACGACTCTACCACGCCTATACGAATTACATAAAACCCATTATATATAAATGGTATCGTTCCGTGGCTTAATTGTTTTATGAAATCTATTAATGAAATCGGTTATCGGATAGTGCACACATCCGGATTCATCCCCTAGTTCGCCACTATACGGGACTTGACACAGGAGGTAATAAAAATCGGTTCTTACTTCTCAAAGTACATTGAGAGAGAAAAACGCCTTGAATTGGAGAATAGCAAAATCAACCATTAAAATAATTGCTCGTTATAATAAAATTTAGGCGCTTTTTATAAAAATGAATCTTCATGCGTCACAGCCACCCTTAGAGGTGGATGATTTTCTTCAAAATTAAATCGCGTAACATACATACAAAAAAAACATACAGTGGAATTGAGAACCTCCTCCTTTTTTTGAAATCGGTTAAAAAATACGGTCCGATTTATGAAATAACAATATTACGATCCGATTTATGCCAATGACGTGACGATTACACTGGTGATAAAAAACAACTTTATCAAAAAAGAATTAAATACCAGATACATATTTGGTTACTCATATTAAGTTTTTTATTTATAATACCGAGTGATGGCACGAACAAGTCGTGGGCCTGGTGGTAAGCGACAAGCCTGTCCATAACAGGGTGCTGTGCGGGGCAGCTGACCCAAGGCCCTAGGCCTTTTGAGAAACGGTTGAAGTCTGTGCAAACAGGCTGATCTGGGGCCAGGACCCAACTGAGAAGGTCGCGGTGCTTGCACAGGCTATAGTGCCCTTCTCGTATACCCTAAAAGTCGGAAGGGTCACTATAATCAAAACTTATGAAGAAAGCAAAAGGAGGTGTCCATAACAGTTGCAGTGCCACTCGGAGCTTTAAAACGAAAAGATTGGAGGGGCACTACCACTGCGCCGGGCACCCTGTGACGTAAGTTGACAAGTCCCATTTCCTTGTAATTTTACCAGCACCCTTATCCTTCAAAACCGGAACGCAGTAATGCTCACATTACTGCTTGGCAGCAGAAATAGGTAAGGTGGCAGTACTTCTCTGGGTACTGCTATTAATAAGTGACGATATAATTCACCTAATTTATGCGTGTAAACAATCACTTAACACCTTAAGTTGTCATCGATTTGGGGATTAGTCATTGACTTATGGGATTAGTGAATATTATAGAAATGCCAGTAATTGAGATGCGGACGAGCAGCGTAGCGTTTATTAAAAAAAACACAAACAGAAAAATAATAATCATAAACTAAAGACATACCACCTCCTATATAGACAATCAAATCAACCCTTACTCTAAACTAAACAGAGCGTTGCCATTTTATAATATTATTATGGTTACAATTCATCGATCGATATTAATTATTAACAATCATAAATAGCGCCACCTATCCAGTAGTAAGGTTGGTGTTGGTAGATGGCACCACTAACATAGATTACAATCAAAGGTCTTTTTTGACGAAGTAGCCCACCGTACCCTCCCATAATCCACGCATACATCAATAGGTGTCGCTAAAGTTTGAAATAATTCGTATGCTAACATTCTATTTCATAAATGTGAAAGTACTTGCAGCTTCATCAGTAACATATGTGTAAACGTTAGGCTACTTAAAATTAACTTACAATTTACTTAAAACTTAATTAATTACTTAGACACTTAATACGTATAAACTAGCCATTAAAAAGATTTATGGTCGTATTCCAGGACTCTATTCAATGCTCAAGTCAGGATTTGAGCAGACTTGAGTATGATTTCAAGCACTGGAAATACGACCCTAATGGCAAGGACTTGAGTATGATTTCTAGTGCTTTGAATCATACTCAAGTCCTGACTTGAGCATTGAGTATAGTTCTAGAATACGACCCTTAGTTTAGTAGCAGTAGAGGTC